ATAATTCCTTTTTCTAATACTCCTTAGCTCTGTGGTTTGACTGCATGATTAAGGGAGTTACTACCCTTTGACATGGAACTAGGCGGTTGTCAATAAATTCCTGTTGAGTCCAACAATTCTTAAACGTGTTCTAAATTTAATCAGTTGAGAAACACCATGAAATTTTTCACATTGACCAGGGGAGTAGAAGGAAATGTAAACCATATACAGAGAACTATCTCAGATATGCAGCTAAGAATACTACTATACTTTCCTTAAGTGTTTGTTACTTTATTAGTCTTTTCAAATTAGTTAATAATAATATTAGGACAAAGACCAAAACTCCATCACTAAAAAGGGAAAACCAAAACCAGGCAAAACTATGCCCTTGGTTTATTGAAACATAAAGAAACTAGAAAGGTTTTTCCCTTATTTTGGACTGGCTGCAAACCCTAAAACATATCTTCTTACCATCTAAGAGAAAAGAGAAGGAACAAATCTCTTATCCAGAATAAATAATGTCATTCTGTAGTTTGTTTAATGGAAAATTAGGAACCAGCATAGTGTCAAAGAAAAATCACATCTGCTCAGGCATACACCTACAATAAGATTACCTTTGGGCCAGGAAGACCTGGAAAACCAATGCCTGAAACTCCGGGATCACCTTTGTCTCCTTTCTGTCCAGGTAATCCTGGGGAGCCAGGTTGTCCAGGAACTCCAGGAGGTCCAGGGGATCCTTCCACACCCTGAGGGCCTGTTGAAAATATGTAATATGTAAGATTTTACAAAACATTCTTTACTCATGGCATATCTAAGATGCATATGACCAAGCCAAAAGATAAAAATAAAAAAACTCTGCAAACTCTGAATTATATAATAATGAGCTTCATGACCAGGATTATATAAAAGCCCATTTTTAAGGACATTTAAATGAATAAAAAGGGGTACAGCTGGAGAAAAGATATGTTAATGAATTCAAACTTTTAAGGTTTATAAAGCCCTGTCCCTTAATTCCCACTCCAAATATTTGTATAACAAGAGAGCTCTGCCCACTGATTCCCTTAGATATTGTCTCACTCTGATTCTATCAACACCAGTATCTTTTCTGATAAAAAAGATAGTGAACCACCTTCTATTAATGGGACTAAATATTTGAGAGATTTTCACCACTCACCTGGAAAACCCATATCACCTATGTTTCCTTTAAGTCCAGGAGGTCCTATAAGTCCTGGCTGTCCAGGGAGACCAGGGTTACCCTTGGGACCTAGAAAAGTCAAATTGTTAAAATTAAGACAAGTCAGCAATATTGGGGTTGTCTGGTTTCTTGGAATGAGTAGTAAGTAAAACGCAAGCATGAGATTGAATGATTAAATTTTAATATATTAGTAAGTACCACAGATAAAACTCAGCATAAAACAAGCAAGAGGTACCTAAGAAATCTCCTCAGGATATATTACAATATAACCATGGTAAC